AGTGAGACCTGATAGGCGAGGGTCAGATGGAAGGGGAGGAGGTCCTTCCCTATCAGTGGACTTTGGAGAGGGCCATGGGAGGAGAAGAGGGAGGGAGGGCAGGATTGGAAGGGTCAAGGGAGGGTGCTACAGCTGGGATACAAAATGAATAAATTGTATTAAATAAATAAAAAAGTGGAAAAGAATGTTGTTTTAATCATAGGGTTTCACATCACAGTAATAAACACATGCACTGGAGTACATAGTCTTGTGAATTTTTTAACAAAAAGCATGATAACTCTTAGATGTTTTATACTAAGAAGATTTTTTTAAAAAAATCACAATCTGTCTTTTTACTCCCCCTTTCTCTTGTTATAATAAACATTCAACTTCTTGATCAAAGGATTTTCTTTGTTCATCCACTTTGTTCCAAGATCCATGGCCCTGTTTCATATCCTGTACTAAGTTTGTTCCAGAGTCAAGTCCTGTTTATAGGTGCTTGGCCCTTGCTCCAGGCCATAGCCTACTAAGGGCTTCTTCAGTGAGTCTGTGTTTATTCTCTGGAGTTCTACTCTCTGTCTATACAATGGTGCTGCTCCTGATTGCTGGGCCTTGGATGTTTCTAGTTTGATAAGCTGGCCCTAATTTCTTATCTTTGACCATATGAACAGCTTATGGGCTTCTATGATGAACTTGAAGATGTCCAACTATACTCTTAAGCTTGATCTCAAGTGCTAATACTTTAGTCACCCTATTTTTTACATATGTACTTGTCTTGTACATTCAAGAAAACTGGAAACACGTGAATACACAAAGGTGGCAGATGGCATGTTAAGTTTCCAAGGAGACAGTAAAGAGAGGCACATATAAAATGAGAAAAAATGGAAAGATAAATATTTATAATGAAAGTGTGTGAATATGTGAAGTAAAGTTTGGAAGGATAGAAAGCAGCATTGTGATTACAGAATTGAGGCGGCAATGAGCTAGGAGAATCTTTTTCTACCCTCAGCCCTGCCTGCAGAAGGCACATGGAGAAACTAGAGTGTCACCCTCCATTTCTCTTCTTTTTAATTAACTGTTAACTAACTGTTGCTCCGAACAGTACAAATTGTATTTCCAAAGTCCATTCCAACTTGTTCAACAAGACAAAAGCACTGAGAACTCCAATAGCACAGCTTCCAAATACAGGGAGGTGTTAAATGAATGTAATGCAAAAACAAGCTACTTCCGTCTCAAATCACCAGTTTTTATTTATTTTTAAAATACCATTTGCAAAAGAAGAAAATACCATTTGCAAACATTCTTCTCTTGTCATATAATCTCAGACCATATTTTCAAAGGCCACCCTTATTTGTTTGTTTGTTTTTGCTTTTAAAATGTCACATGACTTATGGGGGACTACAAAGTGAATAAAATGTAATTAATAAAATAAAATAAAAAAACAAAAAATGTCACATGACATTGAGGGAAATGCCACATAGATAAATAATTTAGATTTTTATGTGAATTTTATGTGAGTGGTCTTGAACCCATATATTGCCTAACTCTTTTTTTATTCACTTTACATCCCGATTATAGGACTCTCCCTCCCTCTTCCCCCATCCCCTATTCCTCAGATAAACAGAGCCCCACACGCATCCACCAAGCTCATTAAGTTTGAGTGTATTCTCTTCCCCTGTGGCCTGCCATGGGGTATTTCCTAACTCTTAAGTATAGTCTGTATAGGACTGAGCAGAACAAGACTCTCCCAAGGACGCTTATTTACCAACATTTCCATCGCAAAGCTGACCTCATGCTAAAATTAGTTGAACCCCATATCATACCATTGTAGCAGAGTCAACCCATTGATAGGTAATGGACATTGTCATACATTTGTTTCTTCCAAAGCCAGTGAAACACGCATGCTTGGATTGTTCTCATCTTTTCAGTAAATTTCTGACAGCGTACAGTTCAATCTGTTCTGTAATACAATGTGTTGAAATCACCATCTTTTAAGGCAAGTGGGAATATGGTAGAGTTTATGGAAACCATACTCATACATAAAGAAGGTGCTTCTTAGTACCCTGGGCTGTGCCTCAGTTACTTATTAAGGTAGACGGATGTTTTTGATACAGCCCACATCCTTGTGATAAGGTACAGTTATTTAGTGCTTTTTACATGCATGGTTGGCCTGTCTCCAGTGAGATCCACACAGCAGAGCAGACCGTGTCTGAGAAAGGCGGGTTGGGCCCCCGCAACTCAAATCTATTGATTTGGAGCACCACTCTTCTAATTTGAGGGCATTCCAGGAGATGTCTCTCTGTGACTGTTTTACTTATGCCTCTGTTTACGCAGCTGTAACTATTCACGTGAGTTTGGGCTCTATTACTCACCTATTAGGCTGAGTTCAGGGTGCACTGTGAAATGTGAAATTGGAGCATTTTCCCCAGTCTCCACTCAAGGATTTAAAATGCAAAGTCCTCTACTGGAGACCAGAGAGGAGACTTTTCTTCTTCAGTGACCCGAACACAGTAAAGTGTGCATACAGACATGTAGGCAACAGAATCTGTCTTTTATTAAAGTTCTTTGCATACTGGCTGGCTTGTCCCTCTGGGACCGAGAATTCCTTGAGAGAAGAGATCATTTCTTACTCATCTTTGTATTCCTTGCCATTCCTAGCCTGCAGCAGGTGCTTTGAAAGGTCTTGCCAAATTAAATTGGAAAAGGAAAGCAGAGGGCAGTCTAGAATCGGATCACAGCCCAACACACCTGCTTCTATGTCTGTATGGTAATTTTTTAGTGTTAAGATTAAGGGCTTATTTTTCTTGTTTATGATTTGAAAAGTAAATCTAACTAAATTTTTGATTGTTTCTTTAAGCCTGAAGATTGTTTTCTCAGAAACAACTTAAAGCATTAAAAACTTGGGCTGGCATGTTCACATTTCTTGTATGTTTAATTATTTTCTGTTCCCGGTCAATATTATGGGATATTATTTTCCCCAATTATTTCAGTCTTGATAGGTTATTCATTAATATTGTAATACAAAGTATCCTTTCTCTAATACTCCCTAGGACGATATTTTCCTTGTTTCTTTTTTAGGTAAGAAAGCTGAAGTTCTTGGGGGGGGGGAAGCTAATTCTTAGGGCACATGCTAAGAAGGGAGCTATTCCAAGACTCCCCTAAGCCTAAGCAAGCACAGTTCTATTTTTCATTATCATTTCCTTATTTGCAAAGGAGCATTTAACATGGTTTTTATTTTTTATTGTTGTTCAAAGCCAGGTTGCTATGAAGATTCATGAGCAGGTAGGTTATTGCCTTAGAGGGAGTACAAAGAATTGAGACCTATTCATCCACAGGTCCGAGACAGGGAGAATGTTTTGTAAAGAAACAAAGAAAGTACTATATCCCTTTTCTGCCTGGCTCCTTCAGAGTTATTTTCCTAAACCATGTACACCAGGTGAATTAACTAGAATCTGTATGTATCTTCATAGTATCTCTGTGATGGTGTGACAAATGCCAGGATACGGGAGAGCTACACAGATGATAGGTGTCCAGTCTCTTTGAATTCCTATTGTTTTTCTGCTCTAGTCCCTTCTTATTTAGAATTTAGCTTTTGGATCACAAGCATTACAATCTTCAGGGCTTGTCAGCAATTCAAGTTACCAGATCCCACTAGAGACCTATTGAATCAGAACCCACATTTGATTTAACAAAATCTCTTGTGATTCTCAAGCTCATTAAAGTTCTGTGTCAGTAGCCCAGAGCATCCTTTTCAGCATTCTCCATCTGTTTTTCTGATATACTACTTTTGCCTTGCTTAAAATATATGTACATACACAAAACTGAAATTAATCCTTAATTACTCTGGTGATGTTATTCTAATGTGAAATTATGCCTAAGGGCTTTTGCTGAACTACTATTGGCCTTTGGATCGACATTCAATTAGTTAAATCAATTACTTGTAATTATAAATATCTTTCATATATCTCCTTGAGGACAAGAACTGCATTTTATTAAATATTTGTGCTCAATTCAGTTCCTTGTATGTAAATTCATGGTAAACTGAAAGTTGAACCATGACTAAAAGACTGAACGAACACAATAGAAGAGGAAATGATTTCTCTAGATGGTAAATTTCTTGAATACCAGGACAGGATCGTATTCATTTTAAAATTAAGAATGCTAAAAAAAAAGAAAAAAAAAGTACTATTAGTTTCTGTTGGTTAATTAGTTTATGTAAGGAGACCAGTCCTAGGATATGAATCCAGATTCTAGACCAGCAGTTCTCAACCTGTGGGTGGAAGCCCCTTTGCGAGTCGAATGACCCTTTCACAGAGGTCACCTAAGACCATATATGCAAATGCATTATGGTTCATAACAATAGCAAAATTACAGTTAGGAAGTAGCAACGACTATACTTATACGATTAGGAGTCACCACAATATGAGGAACTAGCAGGTTTCATATTAAAGAGTTGCAGTATTAGGAAGGTTGAGAACTACTGCTCTGGGGTCTAAAGAATAGAAAAGTAGGAAAGGAAACAAAAGTGCAACTTTGTGCACAGTTTCTTACCTCAGCCAACCATCAAAACATGCTGCCAACTGCTGTAAATTGAGTTCTGAAATTTAAACACCTCGCTGAAGTGCAAAGGCTAGAGTCAGAGTCCTGCATTTTTTGGGGTGTGATCAACAATTGTGTTCACAGGTTCTGCAGAGACTGACCAGTGCAAGAGTTAAGAACCTTTATAACATAGTCTATCTACTAAATTTCAACACACAGACACACTGACACACACACACCGTTCTCGGTTCATTTGGCGCATCGGAAACTGAGGAAGAATAAACTTTTGTTCTGGGTTTTGGATCAGACTGGGTAGGGAACAAAGCAATGAAATCTACTTCCTGGCTCTGTCTCTATCCGCCGTCGGAACTCAAGTGCTAGGTCTTTCAGATGCGGAGGGGACCGGAGAGGGACGGACCCACGGCCCAGCAGTTGCTAGGCAACGCCCGCTGGAGAAGTCCCAGCGTCAAAAAGGTCCGGAAGAAGGGACCTGCAGCGCATTCTTTCCGTGCCGGCGGCTGTCCCCGCCGCTGGGCGGGTTAGGGCAGAGGAAATGTTGCAGGAAGAGTCGGACCTGTCTCTCATCATTGCCCAAATAGTCCAGAAACTCAAGGGCTCCAATCTGTATTCTCAGCTGGAACGGCAGGCCTGGGTAAGTGGGGCTGATGGGAAGCTATGGAGAACGGAGGGCCCGCAGGATGTCCTGTCTGCCACAATGCCTTCACCCACGCCAGAACTCTCTGCACTCTCCACCCCTTTCTGGTGTTTTAAACCCCTCCCAGAGCCCTGCAGCTACGTTTGCTCAGACCCAGGCGTGGGGCGATTGTATTTTATTAAAGACGGGTGGGGCGCATCACGCCTTTCTTCAGGCCAGAGAATGACCAAGGTTTCTTCTTCGTTTATCTATTCCTGTGTCCTTTAAAGACCCTCCCCCCCCCCTTTTAATAAGCCGTTGGATTCAAGAGTGGCATGCCTTCCTTCTCTTTTACTGTTTCGTAGTGAATTGGGGTACCATGTGCGTTTTTTAAATGTGCCACTTTGTTGCATTTTTACTCTCGCTGCAACGATTTCCTATGCGCCCACCTAGCGTTTATTGAACACATTTCAAACTGACTAGGCACGGCGAGTACTTAGAGTGAATGAGGAGGTCTTTACTATATGAGAATGTAGTGTAAATGGAACCATACAGTATGTAAACTTTTGTGGGTGCTTCTGTCTTCGTTAGGCTCTTGGGATCCATCCAGACTATTGATATTTCAGTAGTTCTGCTCCTTTTAATTGCTGAATAGTATTTCATTGTTTGGAAGCCCCGCCTTTAGTTTCTCAGTTTAGGGACTTACCTGGTGGATATTTGTTGTTTAGAGATTATGGATAATGTCAATATTCAAGTTCTATGCCGGTGTCTTCGACTCATGAGCTAGAAAATGCATTGTTTAGTTTTCAAATTTTGGGAGATTTTTTCCAGTTTGTTTCTTTTGTTGATTTCTATCTTAATTCCAGGATGAAGAACATTTTTATTATGTTAATTCTTTAAAGTTTGTCTAATTATATGATCCAGAATATGCTTTAGCTTGTTAAACACTCCATGTACACGTAATAAGCGTCTTTTTTTTCTAATGTCTTAGAAATGTCAGTTGAGTGGAGTAGATTGAACATTTTAAGTGTTCTGTATCTTTACTGAGAGCAGTATGTGATGGTTAATCTTGGTTGTCAACCTGACACGTCTGAGAAGAGAAAAACTTAATTGAGAAATTGATCCTATAATTGAAATAGGATGGCCAAGCCCACTGTGGGTGGTGGCATCTTGAGGCAGGTAAGCCTGGGCTATATAAGAAAGGCAGCTGAATGATGAGCCTTGGAGCAAGCCAGTATACAGCATTTCTCCATGATCTCTGCTTTAGTTCCTGCCTTGAGCTGCTGCTCTGGCTTTTCTAGATGATGGACTATAATTTGTAACCAAATAAGTTCTTTATTCCCCCAAGCTGTTTTTGGTCAGTTTTTTTTCCATTTATTTATTACAATCTATTCAATTTGTATCCCAGCTGTAGCCCCCTCCCTGGTTCCCTCCCTGCCTCTTCTCCCATGCCCCTTCCCCAGTCCACTGATAGGGAAGGAGCTCCTCCCCTTTCATCTGACCCTAGCCTATCAGGTCTCATCAGGACTGTCTTTCATTGTCTTCCTCTGTGGCCTGGTATGGCTGTCCCCCTCCCCCAGGGGGAGGTGATCAAAGAGCCCACCACTGAGTTCATGTCAGAGACAGCTTCTGTTCCCCTTACTAGGGAACCCACTTGGAGACTGAACTGCCATGAGCTATATCTGAGCAGGGGTTCTAGGTTATCTCCATGCATGTCAACCATGTCCTTGGTTGGAATATCCATCTTAGAAAAGATCCCTGGGCTCAGATTTTTTGGTTCTGTTGCTCTCCTTGTGGATCTCCAGTTTTTGGTCAGTGTTTTATCATAGCAGCAGCAGCAACAACAACAACAAAAACAAAGTAAGATGCAGTGTTTCAGTTAAATCAATCTATCTGTCTATCTATCTATCTATCTATCTATCTATCTATCTATCTATCTATCTATCTATC